TCCAGCACAAATCCAGGTTTTCTCTTCCCCCCCCCCCCCCCCCCCGCCACACACACACACACACACACAAACCCACTCTCCTGTTTAACAAGGATTTAACAGGGTTTAACAAGAACGTCTGAAGAGCGGGGGGGGGGCAAGTAGGAAAAAACAAGGGGAAATAGGTTACCTTGGATAATGACTTAGCCACTCCCAGTCTCTATTCAAGCCTAAGTTAATTGTATCCAATTTGCAAATGAATTCCAATTCAACAGTCTCTCGCTGGAGTCTGGTTTTGAGGTTTATCTGTTGTAATATCGCAACTTTCATGTCTGTAATCGCGTGACCAGAGAGATTGAAGTGTTCTCCGACTGGTTTATGAATGTTATAATTCTTGACATCTGATTTGTGTCCATTTATTCTTTTACGTAGAGACTGTCCAGTTTGACCAATGTAGGGGCATTGCTGGCACATGATGGCATATATCACATTGGTGGATGTGCAGGTGAACGAGCCTCTGATAGTGTGGCTGATGTTATTAGGCCCTGTTATGGTGTCCCCTGAATAGATATGTGGGCACAGTTGGCAAAGGGCTTTGTTGCAAGGATAGGTTCCTGGGTTAGTGGTTCTGTGGTGTGGTGTGTGGTTGCTGGTGAGTATTTGCTTCAGGTTGGGGGGCTGTCTGTAGGCAACGACTGGCCTGTCTCCCAAGATTTGTCAGAGTGTTGGGTCATCCTTCAGGATAGGTTGTAGATCCTTAATAATGCGTTGGAGGGATTTTAGTTGGGGGCTAGTGGCGTTCTGTTATTTTCTTTGTTAGGCCTGTCCTGTAGTAGGAGACTTCTGGGTACTCTTCTGGCTCTATCAATCTGTTTCTTCACTTCCGCAGGTGGGTATTGTAGTTGTAAGAATGCTTGATAGAGATCTTGTAGGTGTTTGTCTCTGTCTGAGGGGTTGGAGCAAATGCAGTTGTATCGCAGAGCTTGGCTGTAGACAATGGATTGTGTGGTGTGGTCAGGGTGAAAGCTGGAGGCATGTAGGTAGGAGTAGCAGTCAGTAGGTTTCCGGTATAGGGTGGTGTTTATGTGACCATCGTTTATTAGCACTGTAGTGTCCAGGAAGTGGATCTCTTATGTGGACTGGTCCAGGCTGAGGTTGATGGTGGGATGGAAATTGTTGAAATCATGGTGGAATTCCTCAAGGGCTTCTTTTCCGTGGGTCCAGATGATGAAAATGTCATCAATATAGCGCAAGTAGAGTAGGGGCGTTAGGGGACGAGAGCTGAGGAAGCGTTGTTCTAAGTCAGCCATAAAAATGTTGGCATACTGTGGAGCCATGCGGGTACCCATAGCAGTGCCGCTGATTTGAAGGTATACATTGTCCCCAAATGTAAAATAGTTATGGGTAAGGACAAAGTCACAAAGTTCAGCCACCAGGTTAGCCGTGACATTATCGGGGATAGTGTTCTTGACGGCTCGTAGTCCATCTTTGTGTGGAATGTTGGTGTAGAGGGCTTCTACATCCATAGTGGCCAGGATGGTGTTATTAGGAAGATCACCGATGGATTGTAGTATCCTCAGGAAGTCAGTGGTGTCTCGAAGGTAGCTGGGAGTGCTGGTAGCGTAGGGCCTGAGGAGGGAGTCTACATAGCCAGACAATCCTGCTGTCAGGGTGCCAATGCCTGAGATGATGGGGCGCCCAGGATTTCGGATCTTGGGTAATAGATAGAATATCCCAGGTCGAGGTTCCAGGGGTGTGTCTGTGCGGATTTGATCTTGTGCTTTTTCAGGGAGTTTCTTGAGCAAATGCTGTAGTTTCTTTTGGTAACTCTCAGTGGGATCAGAGGGTAATGGCTTGTAGAAAGTGGTGTTGGAGAGCTGCCGAGCAGCCTCTTGTTCATATTCCGACCTATTCATGATGACGACAGCACCTCCTTTGTCAGCCTTTTTGATTATGATGTCAGAGTTGTTTCTGAGGCTGTGGATGGCATTGTGTTTCGCACGGCTGAGGTTGTGGGGCAAGTGATGCTGCTTTTCCACAATTTCAGCCCGTGCACGTCGGCGGAAGCACTCTATGTAGAAGTCCAGTCTGCTGTCTCGACCTTCAGGAGGAGTCCACCTAGAATCCTTCTTTTTGAAGTGTTGGTAGGGAGGTCTCTGTGGATTAGTATGTTGTTCAGAGGTATGTTGGAAATATTCCTTGAGTTGGAGACATTGAAAATAGAATTCTAGGTCACCACAGAACTGTATCATGTTTGTGGGGGTGGAGGGGCAGAAGGAGAGGCCCCGAGATAGGACAGCTGCTTTTGCTGGGCTAAGAGTATAGTTGCATAGGTTAACAATATTGCTGGGTGGGTTGAGGGAACCATTGCTGTGGCCCCTTGTGGCATGTAGTAGTTTAGAAAGTTTAGTGTCCTTTTTCTTTTGTAGAGAAGCAAAGTGTGTGTTGTAAATGGCTTGTCTAGTTTTAGTATAGTCCAGCCACGAGGAAGTTTGTGTGGAAGGTTGGTTTTTTATGAGAGTATGCATTTTTGAGAGCTCATTCTTTATCTTTCCCTGTTTGCTGTAGAGGATGTTGATCAGGTGGTTCCCCAGTTTCTTTGAGAGCGTGTGGCACAAGCTGTCAGCATAGTCTGTGTGGTATGTAGATTGTAATGGATTTTTTACCTTCAGTCCTTTTGGTACAATGTCCATCTGTTTGCATTTGGAAAGGAAGATGATGTCTGTCTGTATCTGTACAAGTTTTTTCATGCAGTTGATAGATTTCTACTCCATACGGCTAAATGCGGTGCCTTGCATAATGACAGGTTTCAGAGTAACAGCCGTGTTAGTCTGTATTCGCAAAAAGAAAAGGAGTACTTGTGGCACCTTAGAGACTAACCAATTTATTTGAGCATAAGCTTTCGTGAGCTACAGCTCACTTCATCGGATGCATACTGTGGAAAATACAGAAGATGTTCTTAGACATACAAACCATGAAAAAATGGGTGTTTACCACTACAAAAGGTTTTCTCTCCTCCACCCCACTCTCCTGCTGGTAATAGCTTATCTAAAGTGATCACTCTCCTTACAATGTGTATGATAATCAAGTTGGGCCGTTTCCAGCACAAATCCAGGTTTGCTCTCCACCCCTCCCCCCCACAAACCCACTCTCCTGTTGGTAATAGCTTATCTAAAGTGATCACTCTCCTTACAATGTGTATGAAACAGGAGAGTGGGTTTGTGTGTGCGGGGGGTGCGGAGAAAACCTGGATTTGTGCTGGAAATGGCCAACCTTGATTATCATACACATTGTAAGGAGAGGTTTCAGAGGAACAGCCGTGTTAGTCTGTATTCGCAAAAAGAAAAGGAGTACTTGTGGCACCTTAGAGACTAACCAATTTATTTGAGCATGAGCTTTCGTGAGCTACAGGAAGTGAGCTGTAGCTCACGAAAGCTCATGCTCAAATAAATTGGTTAGTCTCTAAGGTGGCACAAGTACTCCTTTTCTTATTGTAAGGAGAGTGATCACTTTAGATAAGCTATTACCAACAGGAGTATGCATCCGATGAAGTGAGCTGTAGCTCACGAAAGCTTATGCTCAAATAAATTGGTTAGTCTCTAAGGTGCCACAAGTACTCCTTTTCTTTTGGAAAAAAAAAAAAGGGGTGTTTCTCTGAACTTTCTGTGGATCACTCTTACAATGTGTATGATAATCAACTTGGGACATTACAGCACAAACCAGGTTTTCTCCCCTCCCAACACACACAAACCCACTCTCCTGCTGGTAATAGCTTATTTAAAGGCATCCTATGAAATAAGTTAATATTTAATAAAACTTATTTAAAAAAAAAATTGAGTATTTACTATATGAAATAAATATTCTTTTTTTTTTTTTATACAGACTAACAGGGCTGTTACTCTGAAACTTATCTAAAGTGATCACTCTCCTTACAATGTGTATGATAATCAACTTGGGACATTACCAGCACAAATCCAGGTTTTCTCCCCTCCCAACACACACAAACCCACTCTCCTGCTGGTAATAGCTTATCTAAAGGCATCCGATGAAGTGAGCTATAGCTCACGAAAGCTTATGCTCAAATAAATTGGTTAGTCTCTAAGGTGCCACAAGTACTCCTTTTCTTTTTAAGTAAACAAAGTGTCCCAGCACACCAGCTGCTTACCCTGACGGTCCAGGACAGCAACTGGTGGGGAAACTTTTTTGGGGGGAGAAGCTGGGGGTTAGGGGAGTAACCCCTGTGACCACCCCCACAGGACCCCACCCCTAACCCGGGACCCCCACGCTCTCCCCATCCCATGCCTTCCCACCTTGTCTGGGGAGGGCCAGGGGAGGATGTCTCTGGCCTGGCTAGAGCTGCTCCAGCAGGCTGGGCCGCGCGGCCTCAGCCTGCTCCGGCGGGCCAGGCTGGGCAGTGCGGCACGGCCACAGCGAGCTCCGGTGGGCTGGGCGGCATGGCCACAGCTTGCTCTTGAGGGCGGGGCCAAGCGGCACGGCTGCAGCCTGCCAGCCCCGGAGCTGAGGCTGCTTCGGAGGCTAGGGGGAAGAGCAGCGTGGCCAGAAGCGGAGACACTCTGGCCCCGCCTCTTCCCTTCTAGCTTTGCTGGCTGTGGTGCCTCTCCTTGCTCCCTCTGTTGCGGGGGAGGGGCTGTGTCCCATCTCTCCCTCTCTATGCCCGTTGATAAGCTGACCCCCTTCTCTGGTGCTTCCCTTTTTTACTAAAAATATTCAGCTTATGAACGAGTATATACGGTATTTTCAGTGCCTCTAGAAAGTTGATGCATGTGGCCACAGTCGCATGAAAAAAGTGGACTAATGACTCTCTCCATCACTTGTCATGTTGTGATGTCATATTCTGATTTGATAGAAGTGCAGAAGAAACACAGGCTACTAAGAAAATGGAGATTCAAACTGGGATTTCGCAAAGGAATAGAGGGAGGATCAGAGGGCTGTCACTCACTTGCTGCTCCTCATTTACAAATGAACTGAATATGTGTTTATATCTTGTTGTGATTTCCTAGGAACACCATTCTACCCAAGTCAGCCAGTGTATCAGTCAGCACCCATCATAGTGCCTACACAGCAGCAGCAACAACAGCCTCCACCAGCTAAGAGAGAGAAAAAAACAGTAAGAGCCTACTCTTCTGGTACTTTCTTTATGGATCTCCTAAGTCTGATATAGCAAGACTGGCACATTGAAGGGGGCACACTGATATAAAATTCAATATTAAACTCAGATTGTTACTCCCTCACCCTTCTGTAGGTTTTTTCCCCTCCCTTGTAGTTCCTTGTTAGTCTAGAACTTCTGATGATGGGCAGGGCATCCAATAACATAGTTGTATGAAAAGCTGGCTAGCTTATCTTATTTTTCAGTCTTCACAGTGTTGAATTTACTGGGTGGTGGTTTCTTATTCTAACTATAGTAAACATGAAAGCTGCTTATTGATACTTCAACTGAGAAATTAATGCTTAGTGATTACCAAACATGGTATGAATTTATCTAGCTCAACATGTCTAAAATTGAAGAAATGGTAGGGAACAAGTGATTGAATGGACTGAAATAATGAAGAAAGAATTCTCTTAAAGGAAAATACAAACATTGTCGAGAGTTGTTAGCAAGATAGGAAGGATTTCCTACATCTCAAAGTACAGGATATCTGTTTCTTTTGATTTGTTAAGATCAACTGTGACATTGAATGAAATTTTGTCTATTGAAATAGAAAAGTAGAACATTTAACTGGGTGGTACTGCAAGCAAGACATTTTTTGTACCCCTGTCATCAACACATAGCTGTGGTAATAAGTCCCTTTATCAGGCCTTTCAGCAGCTCTTCAACATCAGCTTCGTTTATGAGCAGCCTCTTCATTTGTAACATCCAAAAAATATCACACATAAATCAGTAGTTATGCCATAAAAAACAACTCAAATGCAAAGACTTAAACTTGATAAGAAAGTTACAGTCTTGTATGCTAATAAAATTATATTCAATGTACAGTAGAACCTCTGAGTCATGAGCATCAGAGTTATGAACTGACCGGTCAACCCCACACCTCATTTGGAACCAGAAGTAAGCGCGCGCGGGCGCACACACAAGCAAATACTGTACAGCACAGTACTGTGTTAAGTGAAAACTGCTAAAAAAAAAAAAAAGGAATAGTTTTTTAAAAAAGACAAGATAAGGAAACTGTTTCTGTGCTTGTTTCATTTGCACTAAGATGGTTAAAAGCAGCATTTTTTTCTGCATAGTAAAATTTCAAAGCTGCATTAAGTCAATGTTCAGTTATAAACTTTTGAAAGAACAACCATAACATTTTGTTCAGGGTTACAAACATTTCAGAGTTACGAACAAACTCCATTTCTGAGGTGTTCGTAACTCTGAGATTCTAAAGTAGCAGAAAATGAAAAGTTTTAAAAAATGACTAAAGCCCTTCTCCCTGGATATACTCTTCTAGACAGAATTAAACTCACAGGCCTACACTTCTAAATGCTGCAATTGAAGAAACAAAGGAAAAATTATAGGAAGAACTAAGAGAATCAACAATGATATAAATGCAAGATGGCTGGTTGAACATGAGATGTGACCCAGTAATTCTACAAGCATACATACAAGGAAAATGTATTTTTTCTGCAACTGATTCGTTGTCTGGAAAAAAAAATTGCAGACTATCACCTCCTGCTTCCTGTAGAGTCAATAAAAGAATGCAGAGAAAAGTATGACAAGGGAAGTGTTTTCCATTTTCTCAGACTGTAAAAATAAAAAGATTAGAAAACTTATCTGGTATGGTGATCCTGACAAGCAGATATGTATTCAGTATACTGTTTAAACCTGAGACTGAAGTAAAATCTAACACAATACTAAACCTCATAGTGCAAAGTCAAAAAGTTCTTCTGGACAACATTAGCCTATTACATTCTATATAGGTTCTCATAATGCTCATCAAAGTATCTGAGCACCTTCTGAGAGTGCATTGAACCATGTGACTTCACCACTTGTTTTCTTTCTCATCCTCTCCTAGGGGGATACAGTGAGGGAACATGTAGAAAAATTATAGTATCATAGAAGATTAGGGTTGGAGGAAACCTCAGGAGGTCATCTAGTCCAACCTCCTGCTCAAAGCAGGACCAACCCCAACTAAATCATCCCAGCCAGGGCTTTAATGAAGCCGGGTCTTAAAAACCTCTAAGGACGGAGATTCCACCACCTCCCTAGATAACCCATTCCAGTGCTTCACCACAATCCTAGTGAAATAGCTTTTCTTAATATCTGATCTGGACCTCCCCTGCTGTAGTTTGAGACCATTGCTCCTTGTTCTGTCATCTGCCACCATTGAGAACAGTCTAGATCCATCCTCTTTGGAACCCCCTTTCAGGTAGTTGAAGGCTGCTATCAAATCCCCGCTCACTCTTCTCTTCTGCAGACTAAATAATCCCAGTTTCCTCAGCCTCTCCTCATGGGTCATGTGCCCCAGCCCCCTAATCATTTTTGTTGCCCTCCTCTGGACTGTCTCCAATTTGTCCACATCCTTTCTGTGGTGGGGGGCCCAAAACTGGATGCAGTACTCCAGATGTGGCCTCACCAGTGCCGAATAGAGGGGAATAATCACTTCCCTCAGTCTGCTGGCAACGCTCCTATTAATGCAGCCCAATATGCCGTTAGCCTTCTTGGCAACAAAGGCACACTGTTGATTCATATCCACTTCTCATCCACTGTAATCCCCAGGTCCTTTTCTGCAGAACTGCCGCTTAAGCCAGTTGGTCCCCAGCCTCTAGCAGTGCATGGGATTCTTCTTTCCTAAGTGCAGGACCCTGCACTTGTCCTTGTTGAACCTCATCAGATTTCTTTTGGCCCAATCCTCCAATTTGTCTACGTCACTCTGGAACCTATCCCTACCCTCCAGCATATCTATCTCTCCTCCCATTTTAGTATCATCCACGAACTTGGTGAGGGTGCAATCCATCCCATCATCCAGATCATTAATGAAGATGTTGAACAAAACTGGCCCCAGGACTGACACCCCGGGGCACTCGCTTGATACCAGCTGCCAGCTAGACATCAAGCCATTGATCACTACCCGTTGAGCCCAACAATCTAGCCAGCTTTCTATCCACCTTATAGTCCATTCATCCAAGCCATACTTCTTTAACTTGCTGGCAAGAATACTGTGGGAGACCTTATCAAATGCTTCACTAAAGTCAAGGTATATGTGCAGTGAAGTATCTTGTTTTGGTAGGATTTTAGGGATTTGCTTTGGTTTGGTTTTAAATCTACATACTGCTAGATATTTATATTAGAGAAGGCAAGTTCAGAGAAATGCGCCTTGCACTTGGAGTGAAAGATGATGAGATTTGTGGTTATCCCAACCTCCCAGAGAAGCTCATTCCACAGTCTCGAACCAGTCTCTAAGAAAGTTCTGTCTCCCACAAGTATGAGCTGAATGTATATTGGAAAGAGTTCCATTGTGCCAGAGAAGCATAGCTGAAGACCATGGTTGACAACCCAAAGCTTTAGGTCGTCTTTGAGGGTTTGTCAACGCTGCAATAAAAGACCCATGGCACAGCTGCAGATCACCCAGGTCCGCTGATTTAGGCTGCAGGAGTATAAAATTGTAGCATAGACATTCAGGCTCGGTCTGGAGCCCAGGCTCTGAGACCCCTCAATGAGAGTGTGTCTCGGGGGGGAGGGATAGCTCAGTGGTTTGAGTATTGGCCTGCTAAACCCAGGGTTGTGAGTTCAATCCTTGAGGGGGCGATTTAGGGATCGGGGCAAAAATTGAGGACTGGTCCTGCTTTGAGCAGGGGGTTGGACAAGATGATCTCTTGAGATCCCTTCCAACTCTGATATTCTGTGATTCATTATTAAAGCCTGGGCTTCAGCCCGAGCCAGAAAGTCTATACTGCTATTTTTAGCCTGCAGCCTGAGTCCTGCAAGCTCAGGTCAACTGACATGGGCACTGAGACTCAGGCTACAAAGTTAAGACGACTTCATGTAAGTCTACATCGAGCCTCCAATTTAAGCAAGTCAGTCGTGTGTGTCAACACTATGCTCATTGTGTCAGCGGAGTGCATGCTCACTAGCAGGGCTTGCATGGACGCACGGAGCACTGCACTGTGGGTAGCTATCCCACCGTGGACATAGGCGAGTGGAATTTTGGGTTGGGCTTGCAATGCCTTATGGGACCAAAACATTGGTGCGGGTAGTTACGGGAACATGGCGTTAGCCTCCCATGATGCACTTCCCTCTCTCCCTCCCTGAAATCAACGGTAAACAAACCAAGCCTTTTTCGCGCCTTTTTTCATAAGCCTGGGTTACCCGCGTGGATGCCGTAGCACAAAAAGCTTGGCCCCGCTCAGCTGTACGCTGCTGTTGTGAGCATTACAAACGTCTCATGCCTTGTGCTGCAGTAGTTACACAGCCAATTCAGGAGCTGCCACATGGAACCATATGATGCCATGCAGGCAGCCCTGCTGGAAGACAGAGTGGAGCAATTTGCAGTTGCTTTCAACAGTCATACATCACCTTGACTGTGTTGAGCGCCATCTCTGGGTCCGGGAAACAAGCACTGACTGTTGGGACCGCATAATTATGCAACTATGAGATGACGAGCAGTGGCTGCAGTCATCTTTAAAAAAAGGAAGGAGGAGGATCTGGGGAACTACAGGCCAGTCAGCCTCACCTCAGTCCCTGGAAAAATCATGGAACAGGTCCTCAAGGAATCAATTTTGAAGCACTTAAATGAGAGGAAAGTGATCAGGAACAGTCAGCATGGATTCACCAAGGGCAAGTCATGCCTGACTAATCTAATTGCCTTTTCTGACGAGATAACTGGCTCTGTGGATGAAGGGAAAGCAGTGGATGTGTTATTCCTTGACTTTAGCAAAGCTTTTGACATGGTCTCCCACAGTATTCTTGCCAGCAAGTTAAAGAAATATGGGCTGGATGAATGGACTATAAGGTGGATAGAAAGCTGGCTTGATTGTCGGGCTCAACGGGTAGTGATCAATGGCTTCATGTCTAGTTGGCAGCCAGTGTCAAGCCGAGTGCCCCAAGGGTTGGTCCTGGGGCCGGTTTTGTTCAATATCTTCATTAATGATCTGGAGGATGGCGTGGATTGCACCCTCAGCAAGTTTGCAGATGACACTAAACTGGGAGGAGAGGTAGATACACTGGAGGATAGGGATAGGATACAGAGGGCCCTAGACAAATTAGAGGATTGGGCCAAAAGAAATCTGATGAGGTTCAACAAGGACAAGTGCAGAGTCCTGCACTTAGGACGGAAGAATCCCATGCACTGCCATAGACTAGGGACCGAGTGGCTAGGCAGCAGTTCTACAGAAAAGGACCTAGGGATTACAGTGGACGAGAAGCTGGATATGAGTCAACAGTGTGCCTTGTTGCCAAGAAGGCCAATGGCATAAGTATAAGTAGGAGCATTGCCAGCAGGTCAAGGGACATGATCATTCCCCTCTATTCGACATTGGTGAGGCCTCCTCTGGAGTACTGTGTCCACTTTTGGGCCCCACACTACAAGAAGGATGTGGAAAAATTGGAAAAGGTCCAGCGGAGGGCAACAAAAATGATTAGGAGGCTGGAATACATGATTTATGAGGAGAGGCTGAGGAAACTGGGATTATTTAGTCTGCAGAAGAGAAGAATGAGGGGGCATTTAATAGCTGCTTTCTACTACCTGAAAGTGGGTTCCAAAGAGGATGGATCTAGACTTTTCTAAGTGGTACCAGATGACAGAACAAGGAGTAATCGTCTCAAGTTGCAGTAGGAGAGGTTTAGGTTGGATATTAGGAAAATCTTTTTCACTAGGAGGGTGGTCAAACACTGGACTACGTTATCTAGGGAGGTGGTGGAATCTCCCTCCTTTGAGGTTTTCAAGGTGAGGCTTGACAAAGCCCTGGCTGGGATGATTTAGTTGGGGATTGGTCCTGCTTTGAGCAGGAGGTTGCACTAGATGACCTCCTGAAGTCCCTTCCAACCCTGAGATTCTATGATTCTATGATTCATCCTCAATCCTATCTTTTTGTCATCTTGCATTTAAATTGAAGATCTAGATTTCTACCCCAAATGTGAGTTGCAGTTACAGTAGCAGTGTTATGGAAGTAAAATCGTTCAAAGCAAGACAGTAGGATTTTGTCAACTTTTGAAAGTACTGCATTCTTGTCCAGCCAACTAAGTGTCGATTGAGTGTATGTTCAATACATATGGATTAGTTTATTCAAGACTTCTGTATAACAAGGTTGGTGCTGAAAAGGCAAAGTGTATCAGTATCTCAGGGCAGATACAAAAGAGTAGTAGGTGTAAATTGTTAGTAGGTTGAGGGCTTGATTGGTGTGTTCTTGTCTTACTTGCAGGATTGTTAATGTTTTCTTTGGGACAATATATGTTCTTTTATATATTTGAGGAATAAGTATGATTACAAAATGAATCATGTAGTATGTGCATTGTGTTCCATTTTATTAAAACCTTCATGCTGTGTTTTCTTTGCTGTTGCTTGTTTCACAATATCCCTGATCCTCCCCATTCTCCACAGCTGGGGTTGGGAGGAGAGGATGGATTGATAGGGTACTAACCTAGGACTCAGGAGACTCGGTGTTAATTCCCAGTCCTGCCACAAATTTTGTGTGTGGCCTTGGGCAACTCACTTAGCCTCTCTGTGCCTCAGTTGCCCATCTGTAAAATAAGAATAATACAGTTCCCTCCTTCACAGAGGTGTTGTGAGGATAAATCCATTAAAGGTTATGAGGTGTTCAGATACTGTAGCGATAGGGACCATATAAGGACCTTAGGGGGTACTAGGTTTCTTATCAGAGTGTTGCTCATGGACCTTCACCTTTGTCTTTTGTATCTACCTCTGACTGACAGTTTAGTCCTCTGGCTACATTTAATCCAGAGTAGGAATAGGTACCCCTTAGTTAAAGGGTCATGCACCATCATGGGCTGATTTCTTTTCTTAATTGTTCCACTATTTCTCTGGATTTGGGAAAGATTTGGAAGAGATGTTCACATTTAGACCTGATCGTGATGATTGATGAGTGCCTTATCATCTTGTTGACAGTTATTCAAATAAGCTTCATTTCTTTGTGCCCACAGAATGCCATCTTAAATCAGAGCCATGTCAGTTTGCAATTGTAGATCTGATTTGTGTGGCATAGGCTGACAGAGAATACACTGTATTTAATACTTAGTGTAATGGGAAATATATGACTTATGCATGCTTTCCTTCTCTTTATACTCCCTAGCATGGTGTCTAATGGGAATACCCATTTGAAGTATTTTTCTATTCAATTCTGTAGATCCGAATCCGGGATCCAAACCAGGGGGGCAAAGATATAACGGAAGAAATAATGTCTGGAGGAGGCAGCAGGAACCCTACGCCTCCCATTGTGAGACCCACCCCCACACCTACCCCTCCTCAGGTAATAAGATGGTGAGCTCTAGTAATGTCAGCTTTTGTCATTAATGTCTGCTGAACTTCGCTGTTTGCTATTGCCAGTTTCTGTATTTTCCGTTCACACTAGGTGCGTTATCACCTCGGATATCTAAATGATCCTTTCATAAATAGGCCATTTAAGGGTTATTGTTAGCTAGTTTTTGGTAATTTTTTGCAAGCCCATATTCAAAGAAGAGTTGCTGTTACAGACTTCCTATCCAGCTTTGGCATGACATTATCAGGAGTTGTTTTTAAGCATTGTTACAGTAACTGCTTTGTTTCTAAAAGAAAGATCAAGAACAGTGGGGGTCCACTGCTCAGTGGAGAAGGTGAGCTGATAATGGAAGATGATAGGAAGGCAGACCTGCTCAGTGCCAACTTTGCATCTGTCTTTTCACAAAGAATAACATGTGACTGAACGACTAGTGAATTTACCATAGATATATAGGGGAAGGGATGCAGATTGGGATAAGTAAAGGACACGTCAGAGATCTTCTGACCAATTTGAATGAATTCAGATCAGTGGGGCCTAATGCTATTCACCCAATGGTACTGAAGGAATTAGCTGAAAAAATCTCGGTGCCACTAATAACAATATTTTCAAACTCATGGATGACAGGAGAGGTCCCGGAAGACTGGAGAAGGGCTAACATAGTGCCCATCTTTAAAAAGGGGGGAAAGGAGGAGCTGGGGAATTACAGACTAGTCAGCCTGACTTCGATATCTGGAAAGCTAATAGAAGGATGTATAAAACATTCAATTTGCGAGTACCTGGAGGATTAAGGGGTAATCTAGCAGCTATTATGGATTTACCAAGAACAAATCATGCCAAACCATCTTGACTTCCTTCTTTGACAGAGTAACTGGTTTGGTGGATGGGGGAATGTGGTGGATATAATATACCTGGACTTCAGCAAGGCTTTTGACACAGTCCCACGTGACATTCTGATAAATAAATTGGAGAAATGCAGGCTTGGCAGAACTACCATTAAGTGGATACATAATTGGTTAAACAACCACAAACAAAGAGTAACTATTCATGAAATGTCAGATTGGAGGGAGGTTCCACAAGGATCTGTTCTGGATTTGGTATTGTTTAACATCTTTATTAATGACCTGGATGTAGGAATAGAGAGCATACTGATCAAATTTGCAGATGCACAAAGCTGGGGAGGGAGCGGGGGGTTGGAGAATTGGGTTATAGATCGAACCCTACCAAATTCACGGCCATGAAAAATGCATTACAGACCATGAAATCTGGTCTCGTTTATGAAATCTGGTCTTTTTTATGCTTTTACCCTGTACTATACAGATTTCACGGGGGAGACGAGTGTTTCTCAAATTGGGAGTCCTGACCTAAAAGGGAGTTGTTGGGGGGGGAGGGTCGGAAGGTTATTGTAGGGGGGTCACGGTATTGCCACCCTTACTTCTGGAGTGTCTTCATCACTGGGTGGCCAGAGAGTGGCGGCCGTTAGCCAGGTGCCTGGCTCTAAAGGTATCACCCCACCAGCAGCACAGAAGTAAGGCCATAGCATACCATGCCATTCTGACTTCTGCGCTGCTGCTGGAGGCGGCATTGCCTTCAGAGCTGAGCTCCCGGCCAGCAGCCGCCGCTCTCCAGCAGCCCGGCTCTGAAGGCAGTGCCGCCGCCAGCAGCAGCGCAGAAGTAAGGGTGACAACACCACGCCTCCCCACCCCCACTCAATAACAATGTGACCCCCCCACACACACACACAATCCCCTTTTGGGTTAGGACATCTACAGTTTCAACACCGTGAAATATCATATTTAAATATTTGAAATCATGAAATTTGCAATTTTTAAAATCTTATGACCATGAAATTGACCAAAATGGACTGTGAATTTTATAGGGCCCTAGTTACAGACAACAAAATAAAATTCAACAAAGACAAACATAAGGTACTACACTTAGAGAAGAAAAACCAAATGCATAAATACAGAATGGGGGATAATTTGCTTGTCAGCAGCACTGCCGAGAAGGATCTGGGAGTTGTGGTGGATCACAACCTCAGCATGAGTCCTCAATGGCGTGCTGTTGCAAAAAAAGCAAATGCAATTTTAGGGTGCTACGATGGGATCTAGAGGTTCAACCTGGGACTGTGGGACCGCTGTGCCTCTTTTTCTCACTATTCTGGGTAGTCTGTCTCAATGCCTTACTGCTGGCAAGCAGCAAACCCCTCTAGGTGCTGTTACTACTCAGTGCAACCGCATGTGGAGCACCACACCCACCTAAATAGCATGAATGATTCCCAAGCCACTCATGAATTACACAGAGAAAGGCACCAGCCAGATCTCCCCAGCTCCCAGCCTTGTACTTTAGGAATATAACTTGCATTGCTCAAGAAAGTACAAAACCCTTTCTTGAGCAATGCAAGTTTATTAATTAGTTCAACACTTCATCAATAGAAAGTGGACATACACCAGCCTTTGTAACCTGAGCAGATTTACCAAGCACTTCAGTCAAACTCACTGGTAAGGATAAATGTTAAAATACGTTTATTGATTACAAAAAGATAGATTTAAGTGATTATAAGGCATAGGCAAAAAGTCAAAGTTAGTTATCAAAGAAAAGAAAATAAACACACAATCTAAATCTTAAATCTGTAAGACACTCGGCAGTATGTCAATCAGGCGGTTTTCTTAGCTGTTTCCAGATGTTACAGTTCATAATGCACAGGTTTCACCCTTGAAACCTAGGCCAGTCTCCTCTGTTGGAGTCTTCTGAGTGTTCTTGTTGTTTGCAGCAAAGGTGGGGGTGGAGAAAAGGCAAAGCATGGGGCCACTGTGTTCTATTTTATGCCCTTATTCCTTGTGCTTGGAGAACATAAAACCAGGCATGTCTGAGCACCTGGCAAGCCTGAGCAATTCCCCTGGTGTGGCCTTGTGCAAGTGAGTCATTGAATTGTAATTCCCTTGCTGGAAAATGGCTGTGGAATGGTTGTTCGACACCTGCCCATTGGTTAGCTCCCTCATTCTTGTCTCTGGGGATTTAATATCTGGGCAGTTCCCCAGCTCACAGCATATTTTAGTGACAGCCATACAACACAATCTCGTAACTTCATATGCAACAATGATATACATATTTAGATAGAACAATGGCATTTAGCAGATCATAACCTTTCTCACAATACCTCAAATGGCATGATTTATTTCAAATATCACAATTATATGTAAATGATGAATATGGGGTTTACAGGGCACTCCCCTGAGATATAGAGTGTCACAGGTGCATTAACAGAGGCATTGAATGCAAGCCATGGGAGGTGATAATACTGCTCTACTCGGTGCTGGTTAGGCCTCAGCTGGAGTAGTATGTCCAGTTTTGGTCACCAGTGCATAGAAAGGATGTGCAGAAACTGGAAAGGATCCAGAGGCGAGCGACAAAGATGATCAAAGGGATGGAAGGTAAGCCATATGAACAAAGGCTGAAGGAACTGGGTTTGTTTAATTTGGAAAAGAAGAGACTGAGGGGGGACATGATAGTGGTCTTCAAATACTTGAAAAACTTCCATAAAAAAGATGGAGAAAAGTTGTTCTATCTTGCCACAGAAGGCAGGACAAGAGGCAATGGGTGCTAACTACAGCATAACAGATTTAGATTAAACTTCCTAACTGTAAGAACAGTCGGAGATTGGAACAGACTACCTAGGGCAAAGGTGGGCAAACTACAGTCCGCAGGACCATCCTGCCTGGCCCTTGAGCTCCCGGCCAGGGAGGCTAGCCCCCCCGGCTCCTCCCCTGCTGACCCCCCTCCCCCACAGCCTCAGCTTGCCATGCTGCCAGTGCTCTGGGTGTCAGGGCTGCAAGCTCCTGCCGGGCAGCGCAGCTGCCAGTCCTGGTGCTCTGAGCGGCATGGTAAGGGGGCGGGGAGAGGGGAGGTTGGATAAAGGGTGGGGTCCCAGGGGGCCTGTCAGGGGGCAGGGGTGTGGATAGGAGTCAGGGCAGTCAAGGGAAAGGGAGCAGGGGGGTTGGATAGGGGATGGGGTCTGGGGGGATGGGCAGTTGGGGGCATGGGATCCCAGGAGGGGGCAGTCTGTGGACAAGGAGCAGGGGGGGTTGGATGGGTTAGGGGTACTGAGGGGGGCAGTCAGGGGGTGGGAAGTGGGAGGGGGCAGATAGAGGGCGGGGGCCAGGCTGTTTGGCCACAGTCTTCCCTACTCGGCCCTCCATAGAGTTTCAGAACCCCGATGTGGCCCTCAGGCCAAAAAGTTTGGCCACCCCTGGCCTAGGGCAATTTTGGGAGCTCCTTCACTGGATGCTTTCAAAAGGAGGCTGGATAGCTATCTGTCTTGGATGGTTTAGACAAAACAAATCCTGTATCTTGGCAGGGGGTTACACTAGATGACCCTTGCAGTCCTTTCTAACCTTATGGTTCTATGATTCTACCCTATAAAGGAGAATCTTGTATTTTTAATATAAAAATGTGACTATTCCACTGAAGCACTGTAAAGGAGAGAAAAGTCCATATGACACATTTATACTGAATTAATTTGTGCTGTCAACTATGTGCTTTAATATATTCTTGCAGTGTGACCAAGTTAACTTTCCTGTGGGAATCTTTACGGAAGAATTTTCCGACTCCTATGTGCATATATTCTCAACCTTAATATTACACTTTGGTGTTAACCAAGGAAAAAGAATAAATATCCTAAACGGACCCTTCTCCCGGCTCTTCTCTCTTGATTTCCCCAGTAAAAAGTGAGCTGTCCAGCTTCCAATTGCTCTACCCTCTTGATTCTCCTTACCTCGATTTCATGTGAATAACCCACTAACAGGGAGCGAAAATGACTTTGATTTGATGTCCAGGGCTTGCTACATTCAGCCCTGAATCAGGGCCAGAAGAGAACTGTTAAGACCAAAAAATCCTGGTAGCCCTGACATGTATTTGAAGTGCATATTGTAATGAACTGCCATGGCTAGAGGTGTATTCTTTATACTGTTGAAAAATGCAATTTGGAGCAGAAT